GGCAGATTCCGACTTTCAAGGATTTTCTGGGTCTTTTTAGAGCTGTTTGATTTTGTTAGAATTTCCGTAAAATTAAGTCTTTTTTCAATTTTAATTTTTTTTAAATCCTTAAAATTTTCCTTTCTTTTTAGGTTTTTTCATGCATTAAATCTTAGTCTTTATTCTCTTTTGAAAAACGTCGCTTAATAGTTGAGAAAATTAATGAAATGCGAGTAGTATATTAGGGATGGAATTAGCCCCTTTTCTTGGCCCCCTTTTCTCGGCCCCCACTGAAATCACCAGTGGCTAGGATCCTAAGGCGGAAGTCGATCTGATTGGTCGGTACGATCAACAGGAATTGACGTCACGACTGCAGTATTGAGCCTGAACTCATTTGCATTGCGCCTGAACCGTTCGCAGTCTTGATTGGTCGATACGATAAGCATGAAATGACGTCACGACTCCGGTATTGAGCCTCAACTCATTTGCATTGCGCCTGAACCATTCGCAGTCTTGATTGGTCGATAAAATAAGCAGGAAATGACGTCACGACTCCGGGATTGAGCCTGAACTCATTTGCATCGCGCCTGAACCGTTCACAGCTCTGATTGGTCGATACGATAAGCAGGAAATGATGTCACGAGTTTTTCAATTTGCGTCAGAAGCGCAAGTGGTTTTATGTTGTAAAAAGCGATCTTTGTCATTCCTACTCTACGCCTTATCCCTGCGATATCACAAGCTACACCGATCAAGAGTTTTAAATCATGAAGCTAAGAAGTGGTCGTGTTCTTCAAGCAGTAGCCTTCAAGCATAAGACGGATTCGAATGCAATTGCAAATCTATAAGCACTATAAGCATCGAGGAAAAAGACCAGAGAGTTAAGACAGAGGTCATGGGGGACCTAAAGATATATTTCAGATTTTTATTCTATCAATGCTGTGAAGACCTTGGCAACAAAGTTACATTGATGGACATAGAAAGAGTCCAAGGACGAAAACCAAACTTTTTTGTACTGATAAACTGGAAAGCAGATAAGTTTTTTGGCTAATGACCTTCCAGAAAGCTTTGCTTAATATGCGATGTAAACTTCCCTTGCCTATATTGTTAAAAGCTTTTGACGTTTTTATGAGGTACGAACATGTTCCAGGAAATCCAAATTACCTCGCGATAAAATCAGCGCTGGAAAGGTACCTCCACGAACTTAATGACGATATTAGCAGTGAAAAATGATTCAACTGATGGAGGAAATAAACCAAGTCAAAAGCCATGCCTTCTCAGCAACGGATAGGAAAATCTACCTCCAAGAGCTAGCCAGTGACTTGGCATCACAAATCGTCAACCCTTGTTTCACCAATCACCCCAATATCATATCTTGGGATGATTTTTTCCAAAACTCCAAATCAAGATGTTGCTATATCCCTGAAGTCTATGGTGGGCGTACCGTGAGAAAGCTACCTTCATCCATTTGCAATTTTTCCATGTTTTCA